TTTGAAAGATTGTGAAGATAAGAGAGGTATCAGAGGCCCAGAAAAGGCCAAATTTCCCCAATGGAAAAAAGTACAAAAGTAAATTCTGCAAATTATAGGCTAGTGAGATTGACTTCAATTCCTAACTATTCTAGAATGTATTATTAAAAAGGTGGTTTCTGAGGATTAAGAAAAGGAAATAATGACTACTATTAACCATCATGGCCTCAACAAGAACAGGTCTTATCAGACTAGCTTCATTTCACTTTTTTAAAAGGATTGGTAGAATGGTAGATCAGGAAAATATTGTAGATATGTGTCTTCTAATTATAAGCAAAGTATTTACCATGATATCCTTGGGGATGAGATGGAAAAAGGTAGGCTAAATAATTTTTACAGTTAGGGAGATTTACAAATGATTAAATGACTGGCATTATATCAGTTTGAAGGTACATAATGGAGTGCCCAAGCATCTGTCGTTAGCTTTCTGTCATTCTATATTTTTCTTGATGACTTAAAGGAAAGCATTGATGATGTGATTATCGAATTTGTGGGTGTCACAAAATGGGTGGGATGGCAATCATGCTAGATGATAAAGATAAGATCTAAAAATATTTTGGCAATCATTATTATATAAATGATGGCTCTCTGAGAGGGAAGAAAGGGAGGATTGGAGGAAGAAATAGAAGATATGTAAGTAAAAGATATCAAGAAAATATATTTTTAAAAATTCTTGATGGCCTATATTGATAGGCCAAATCTAAGGTAAAAGTTAATATATTCAAAAAAATAGAGTTCTATAATTAGGCCAAAAAATCAACTTTAATGCACAAGATGGTAAAGTTGTGATATTAAAAGTTCTTATAAAAATGATCGGGAGGGGCGGCTAGATGGTGCAGTGGATAGAGCACCAGCCCTGGAGTCAGGAAGACCTGAGTTCAAATCTGGCCTCACATACTTACTAGCTGTGTGACCCTGGACAAGTCACTTAACCTCAATTGCCTAAAAAAAGAAAGAAAATTATCTGGAGGGGTTCAGTAGATTAAAAAATTCATGATTCTATAGTGTGATGTAGCAACTAAAAAATCCAGCAACACAGAGATAGCATATTAAACACTGGATATGACAGTCTTGCTGAGCTCTGCCTTGGTCCGACTACACCTGTAGTACTGTGTTCAATTCTACATTTTTAAGAACAAATTGACAGTATGTATACCATACAGAGGAGGTCAAATAGCTGATGAGTAGACTTGAGGCAGTCTTATGAGCACAGATTGAAAGGAATATGAATATTTAGCTTGAGGAAGAGATTTAATGATGTCTGTCTTCAAGTATTGGAAAGGCTGTCAGTCACATAAAAGAAGGGATTGTTTGTCTATGTCTGAAGAAGGCAAAATTAGGAGCAATGCATAGAAGAGAAATAGATTTAGGCCTTTTGGAAGGAAAAAAGATCTTTAATAATAGGGGCTCTCTGCAAGCAGAATGGGTTATTCCCCCAATTATGGGTTGACCCCACTGAAAGATTTCAAGTTTGATGACCACTTGTCAAAAATGTTGTAGAGAGCAGGGTTGGTCAGGTTGGACTAGATGGACAATGCAAACCATGAGATTCTAAGAAGTCAGAGGCCCCAACCTAGCGCTTTGCTTTGTAATTGTTTCTTGTGTGTCCTCAGATATGAAAATTAGCATTTCTGGTTCTTTGTTTTCCCATCAGTAAAATAAAGAGTTGAAATTAGATTATTTCCAAGGTTCATTAGGATATATGAACTTTTGCCTTTGAGTATTATTCAGTTTTCCAATTATAATTGTAGTTTACAAATACCTTTATGTCTTGGCAACTTTGTCTCTTCACTTCTCTTCATATCTCTATATGAAGATATGAGATACCTGCATGAGATAACAAGACATATTTAAACAGGGTAGATGGCAGTAGAAAAATATCTCTAGTTGCTAGCCCACTTTTGGCTAATTTCTCTTTCTTTCTTTCACAATTAGGGTTAAGTGACTTGCCCAGGGTCACACAGCTATTAAGTTTCTGATGTCAGATTTGAACTCAGGTTCCTGACTCTGGGGCTGGTGCTCTATCCACTATGCAACCTAGCTGCCTCAGCTGACTAATTCCTCAAGCAACAATAGAAACTAAGTAAAACAGAAGCTTCTTCCCTAACCTTTCTAGGTTCTCAGCCAAAGAATGTCTGAAGATTGCCATACGTGCTTGTTAAATTGTAAGTACATTACAAAGTTCACTGGAAGGCAACTTTGGTGTTTGGAGAAGGCAAACATTTTACAGCAAATATACACAAGTCCATATCTACAACAAACAATACTCAAGCCATGGACTTTAAAGAGACAGTTACTGACGAGTTGAGAAATGTATATTCTTCCCTTCCTTGGAAAAGTGAGGTACTATGAATGTGAAATATTTGTTGGTTTCACTTTTTTATGCTTTGCTACAAAAGATGGTTCTCTGGTAAGGGGAAGGGACAGAGATAATATTTGGAAAAGAAAGTAATGCAAAACCAAATGTAATCAATAATTAAAAAAAAACCTCAATAAGCTAATCTAAGTGTCTTTTTAAAAATCACAACCACAAGATAGGGGCAAAATTCATAGGAATCTCACTAGATCCTCACTCTGATTCTGTTGATATGAATCTTCCCATGTTTCTCTGATTTCTTTGCATTCATCATTTTGCATGGCACACTAAAATTCCATTACATTCGTATATCAAAATTTGTTCACATCACTCTCCTGACTGATGGAATTTTTCTTTCCTTAGTATAAAAAGTGTGCTATAGATCCATTAACTTTTCCCAGAAATGTCCACGAAAGCCTTTCAGGCTTACAGTTTTCTTGCAAATATCATGAAGAACCAGTAAGAGAATAGTATCACAGATCTCAAATTGGAAGGGACCTTAGAGGTCATTTGGTTCAGCTTCCTCAATTTATGCACGAGAAAGCTCAGGCCTACAGAGATTAGATGACTACCACAAAGTTGCAGATATATTAAGTGGTAGAGTCAGAATTCCAATGCAGGTCCTGTGACTCCAAGTCCCATGCTCTTTCCATTGTACCATAGTGCCTCCCAATTCTAGACCCAAAGATCTCTTACATTGAATGCTTCATCTCTTCAAACACTTTGCATTTACTTTAGTCGTTTCGTTTTTTGGTATGGGTATATGATTTAAGCAATTGAAGTGGGGAATTCTCAAGTGTGCAAATGCCTTCCAGCAGTGCAAATCATCAATTCCTCTATAATTTATAGTCTTAGCAAGTTGCAAGCTTCTTTGGGCAGCCGGGTGGTGCAGTGTTTTGAGCCCTTGGACTGACATTAGGAAGACCTGAATTCAAATCTAGCCTCAGATACTTACTAGCTATGTGATCAGCAGCAAGTCTTTTCAGGGATAATAATAATACCTACCTCCCAGGGTTGTTGTGAGGATCAAATGAGATATTTATAAAGTGCTTAGCACGGTGCCTGGCATAAAGCAGGCTCTATATAAATGCTAGCTATCATTATCACTATTATTATTTCATGGGACATGAGCCAGTATGTGTCAACATGGCAGGCCTTGAACCCTATCTTTCTGACTCCAAGACTGGCCCTCTATCCACTATGGTAATAATAATAGACAACATTTACCTAGCACTTTAATATTTGCAAAATGTTTTAGATATGTTACCTCATTTGATCATCAGAATAAACACTGTGAGTTAGGCACTATTGTTCTTATTGCCATTTTGCGGATGAGAGGAGAAGCTGAGTGGGGTCACACTTCTATTAAGTATCTGAATTAGGAATTTGAATTCTTAGCTCAAAGACTGTATGAAACTAGGAGGCAAGCCAGATCTGACCCTTGCTCTGTAGTGTGCTGACCCCATTCAACTACCATTATGTTGTCTCTGTGTTCCCAAACTCGGGGAAGGACCACCTTAGGCTAAACACAAGCTGCCTCCTAAAATACAAAGAATGAATGAATGATAAAGGATATATTAAGTACCTACTGTGTGCCAGGAACTATGATGAGCACTGGAGATACAAATCTGAATAAGATGGTCTCATTCCTCAAGGAAAATAAAGTCTAATGGAACAAGACAACATATAAAGGAGAGAGGCAGAGGGCAGCCAAGGATACAAGTACAATGGCATTGTGAGAAAATGTCTAGGAATTAATGAAATTAATCAATGAACAAGCATTTACTAAGCATATTTTCCCACAGGCTAAGCACTGATAATACAAATAGAAAAAATGAGACTGTCCCCAATATCAGGAAGCTCATATTCTAATTAGAGGAGACTACATATTTCCCCAGCTGTAGAGGAAATAGAAAGAACCAGAGGTTCTAAGGCAATTACAAGGCAGATGGCAAAGCCCAGGCATCCATAGGTTAAGTTAATGGGTCATGTGTGAGAAATAACTCATTAGGATTCAGGAGGGATGAAGGTAAAAGCCCAGTTTATCATGTAGTTGCAACTGCAGGTGTCCTACAGAGTAGGACCACAGCAAGAGTTCACTATTGATCTCTAATCCTGGCCACAAAGTCCCTCCTCTGTTTCCTCATTGGCTGAGTACTCCAGAGTGTGCAACTTTCAGTACGCCTACTACACATGTACTCCTTGGCATATACTCTCTTCTTCATACATCCCATGTTCAGAAAATGGTGTCTCAGCCCCTCTTGGAAGTGGAGAAACTAATATTTATAAGCCTATTAAGCATGAGCATTCTAAGCGAAGCTTAACCTTTGTCTTACTTACTAGCTCCTATCAGCAAAACAAGATTAGACCTGCTTTATCCTATTTTACCTAGTTATTTTAGCAGTTGTTTCAATTTTATGGAATCTTGTGTTCTGATTAACTAACTTCTATCAGCGAAACAAGATAAGACCTGCTGTATCCTGTTTTACTTAGTTACTTCTGTAGCTGTTTGCTCCAAATTCATGGGTACAAACATTTTCATTGTATCTCTCATCATGTAACAGTGCCAGCGTAAAGGCAGCACAGTTGGTAATGCTTGATAGTCCTCTATCTCACTGGAAGGAACTGAGTTGGTGACTTCTAACTCATCCAATATCAGGAAATGCGTATAAAGGTATGGGGAGTGGGTAGAGGAGGACACCTTCTGCGGTTGTGATGTCTTCCAGCAACCTGGCAGTCCAGATGAGTTCTGGGAAAGTCTGGGGTTGGGGGAGGGTGAGAGAGGAAGGAAGGCAGGAAGACCTCATCCTCTGCCATCTCACATGAGTTCTAGGAAGTGGCCTGGAGGCCTAGTTCAAGTCAGGCTAAAATGAAAGGTCACCTATCCAAGTCTAAATTTGTTAGGCAGATTCCATTCCGGTGGAATAGGGGTGAGGAAGATAGCCCAAGTGTTCAGGTGATAATAGCTAGGAAGTGAATTTAAGAGAAAGTGAGACCAACTGGGGACAATCTACAAATGTTTGTAATGTATTAACAAAATATATAAAAAACCCTTAAAAATAAAACCTGCTACCTTTCTGAACCAAGGTGGGTAGGGGATTGGAGGAGGGAAGTAGGGAGAGAGCAAGAGAGAGAGGGGGAGAGAGGGAGGGATCTTTATATTAACACTGATTTTGATGGGGTATGGGCCCAAAGTGAGACCTCTGTCCCAATTTGGGCCCCATTTGTCTATGTGCCCTAGAAAACCTTTGGATTGTCCTTGAATTCTCCCACTTGATCAAGGAGATCTCTGGCGTTCCCCTGAGGCCATGATTCTGTTGTTTTGGCTACACCCAATACCCAAATGACCTAGCCTGGCCCTCCATTGTCTTGCTTCCCTATGGCCCCAGGCCACTTCCCACCCTTGGTCCTATCTAGGCTCCATTTCCCTGGAATTCTATTACCTCATAGACTACTTGGCCACTGCTAGATCCCTCCCACAGTCTTTCTGTATATAAGGTCCATCTTGTCTCCATTAAGATGCTCAGATTTTCACAATCTAGCCAGTAGCCCACAGATGTTCAGATTCCTTAAGAGTCTGGCTAATATGACAAATCTTCAATAAATGGTGTTTTTTGGCTGAAAGAAGCCTTGGGTCGAATTCTTTTGGAGAGGACCCACATGTCATGATTTTGGGATTCCAGGACCCAACCTCTAGACCTCGTCAATTTTAGGTAGCATTTAGGTTTTATGGAAACCAGATATGGAGGAACAGTACAGACTATATTTCAATCTATATGAATGCTCTTTAAATTGAATTTTAGTTTTTAAATAAACAGAAATCCATTTTCTCTTCCTTCCCCCATTATATTGGGGGGGAAAGAAAATCAAATTCCTTGTAACAATTATGTATAGTCAAATAAAACAAATTTCCTTATTGCCTGTGTCCAAAACTGTCCCATTTTGAACCCTGAGTCTATCATCTTTCCAGTGTTATTATATAATTCTCTGTGGAAACATGTGTTATGGTTTCCTTCTTTTCTCTGACTTAGAGGTCTCTAATAATTTTATAGAAAGCCAATGGTTTTAATTTAAGGTTGTTTAAGCTTAAATAGTAGTAACCTCATTGTCCTTTGCTAGTTGCCCAGATCATTAAAAAGCTAACTACCTTCTCACTTTGGGAGATCAGCTGCCACATTTAAGGATAACAAACACATTTAAAAAGAACTATGAGCTACACCGGTCCTCTCTCTCTCTCTCTCTCTAAACATAATAAGCATTCTTGTAGAAGGGTGAGCATTTGATAGGATTTATATCTTTAATTTTACCAGTAAAGATGGGCAAGGCATACTTTTATGAAAATCTGCTTGGGATTTAAAGAGTACAGAATTTTACATTACACTATCACAAGTTTAACATGTTTTATTTTGAAGCAGCCTAAATCATTTGACTGTACCTGAAAGTATGTGTACAAGACAGCAAACCTCTCTAAGCTTCCATTTCATCAACTATTAAAAGAGGGCCCTGTACAAGCGTGCCATTTACCAAAAGGTGTTCCCAGAACCCTGATGTTCTACTTGATGAACAGAGGTTCTGTGTTCCAGTATCAATCAAGAATCATTCAATCCTCTAAAATATTAAGCATAAATTTAGTTATAGGAAACTGTCTAAGACTATATAAAATTGCAGAGATGGTGCTGCCTGCTCTGGTGGGGGGAGTTTCCTCATCAGAAATTTCACTATATCAATGAAATCATGGATCAGATCCTTACCTCTATAACTGGGTATAAAACAGAGCTCACTTAGCATTTTCTCCATTTAAAAATATGCTCAATTGCCTCTATTTCCCCCACCCCAAATTCAAGCTTATCCTTGGGTCTTCTAGCAAACTATCATTGGTTCCACAAATGTTTTTCAAGCTACAAAGTATTCTGTGGCCAAATTATTTTGAGAAATGTTGGCTTAAGTGACCTCTAAGGTTCCTTCCAGCTCTAAACTTCTAGGAATTTCTGCTTCTTTGCCTATGAACTAGCAGTAAAGTTTTTGGGAAACACTGGTGTGCCCTAATGCATTGAGTGGAAAACTTTGACCAACATTTCCAACTCCAAAAGCTGCTATAGAATTCCCAAAATTCCTTGAAGTAGGAAATAATGGAATGCTAAGGGATATGGAACAGGCACAACATAAGATCTGAAAGAAATTATAGGTTGTTTTTACAATCACAAAACACTGGCCATTAGCATAAAGATAACAGTGGAGTGATTCCAGTCTACATTAGCAAAACTGGCTAGAAAACAACAAACATCCACTCTGTCTCTTGGAAATACAGACCTGAAAGTCATTGCTGAATTTTGCTATCATGTAGAAGACTGCTAGAAGTTTCTCAAATGCTTTCAGTGGCTCTATTCTACCTGAGACAAATGAAAATTCCAAAAGAAAGAGTTTCTGGGTAATTAATAATCAATTTATTAATTAGGCTAGCCAGCAATCAATAAATTGATGGTCAATGGTTTCTCTCAGTAACCAAAGACCCCAAGGGAAACCTTAAATACCTTCTGAAAGGGAATTCCACTGACAAGTGAAAATCAACCTTGATTGGTGGATATGTAATAAGAAGGTAGGCTAAAAGTCTTCAGCTCCTTCTTCTGAGAATGTGGTTTGATCATGAGACTCAGCTGCCTCAAGCAGTCTGGGAAGGGGAAGCCATTCCCATCCAGACCTTTCTGGCTGGTTTTCTCCTCCAAGAACTGGGTTATCCCAAACTCTAATGGAGGTGATGCAAGGACTGGGATTCCTTTCCCCAGGGTAAGGTTCATACAAACTGGATTCTGTTTACACTCTAAACAGAGTCTAAACAGGTCTCCCAGTTGGGTGGGGTTCCACCCAGAATTAAGGAGCATGCTTGCAGGGCTAGGAACAATCTCCTTAAACAGCTAAATGGGTAATAGGATTTGGACCGTTATAGAAAATGAAGGAAAAAGGGTGGATCATAATTGATAATTATTAATACAATAGTGTAATATTAATTTCTCTCATACCTCTAGCATAACATAATCTGTATCCATCCTACTTTTACATCCTTGTTTTCCTAGTCTCTTTCAACTTTTAGTGAAACTGTTCTAGAACCATTTTTTACACTTCCTTGACTCCATGCTTAGAACTTGCTTTCTCCCTTGCCTACAATTCTACATCTGGATCTCTTCTTTATTGTTATCACTAGATTAGCTGCCTTGTATCATCTTACTTGGGTCTGGATATCACTCATATTAAATTGTAAGCTAGGTTAGGCAACTAGATAGTGTAGCATATAGAACACTGGACCTGGAGTCAGAAGGACTTGAATTCAAATATAGCTGCAGATAACTGCCTAGCTCAGTGACCCTGGGCAAATCATTTAACTTCTGTTTGCTTCAGTTTCCTCATCTATGAAATGAGGATAATAACATCACCTACCTCCTAAGGGTGGGGATCAAAGGAGATATTTGTAAAGCACTATGCAAACCTTAGAAACATATAAATGCTAGCTACTATTATTCTTGGGGAAACTAGGAGGCATAATAGAGCACTGGCTTGGATGCCTGGAAGACCTGAGTTCAAATCCAACCTCAGATACTTACTAGCTGTGTGACCTTGGACAAGTCACTTAACCCCATTTGTCTCAGTTTCCTTATCTGTAAAATCAGCTAGAGAAGGAAATTGCCAATAGTTCTAGTATCTTTTCCAAGAAAACTCCAAATGGGGTCATGAAGAGTCAGACATGCCTGAAAAATGACTGAACAGAAATATTATTGTAAATTCCTTGAGGGCAGAGATAGTAATTTTTCAACTTTGTATCCTCAGTGACTAACACATAAGAGTTGCTTAATAAATATGTTAACTTGAATTGACCTTGGACAATTCACAACCACCAGTATAAGTTTTCTCATCTAAAAGATAATGGGTTAGATTAGATTATCTAAATTTTAAGCTCTTTGAAGGCTCTTCAAAATAAAACATTTAAGTTACTCTCTCTCTCTCTCTCTCTCTCTCTCTCTCTCTCTCTCTCTCTCTCTCTATATATATATATATATATATATATATATATATATATATATATATATATATAGCATATAGGAAGTCCTTAGTGAATGTCTTGTTTAGTGAAAATTAAATAATTTATACTAGGCCTAAAATTCTATGGTTCTAGATAGAGAAATAGATAAATTCACAGCTTGCTACAGTTAGAAGGGACATTGGAGATGGACAGATGATTTTATCCCAATGAAACTGTCTGCAGATTTAGAAAATGTCTGAACCACTGCTTTCAGACAAGACTAAAGATGTCCAACCTATTTTATGATTTCTACTTGAAACATCACATTCAGTTTCTCAAAAAGTTTCATCAGAGGCACATAGGTAACATATCTAACATCAAATGGCAAGAGGGCATCATTGACAAAGATAGGGAGTCAGCCAGCCTGGAACCTGGAAATTGCATCAGCTGGTCTAGATGTATACAGGGGATAGAACATGGCAAGAAGTTATAACCACTAATAAGAAAAGACCACTGAGAACCCTTGCTATGGTTAAATTCAATATACAAAAATTCAGTGTAAGGAAAATTATAAACTAGGAAATAATCATACGTTATACTCCCTGAACCTTTGCAATAATGGGTGCTGTTGACACTATGGTGTCATCTTACCCAGCTTGTGGCCCAGGCCTAATGTAGTAAACTAATCAATTTTGGGAATGAAAACTAAAGAAGCAGCCATAGCATCTCTTCTGTTATGTAGACTGTGTATTTATGTGTGTATGTATGCATGAATATGTACGTGTGTATATACCCATGCAGAGACAATGGAGAGCAAACTTGAAACAGTGGATAGTGGGCCTAGCCCTTTATCAATAAATCAGAAAGACATGGGTTTAAGGCCCACTCCTGACATATGCTAGCTATGTGATCTCGATTGATTTACTTAACTTCTTATTGATGTAGGTAGGCAACTCTCTGGGACTAAAAATTGTTGAAAAATTGCCAATCTACATAGATAGAATAAGTTTCCTAACTGGAGGCTCCCTACATCAGCAAAATCATAGAACAGACCTTTCCCCACATCCATATCTACCTCTCCCCAAAGATAATAGAGCTTTATTGAGATTCTCTGAAACAAAATGCTGGTAAGGGAGTGTGGGGAAAGAACCTACAATTCCTGGCAAGCACGTATCTGCTGATAAGTTATGATGCCTATTCTACAGATTCAGACTCCAACTAACATTTATTAAGGATCTACTGTGCTCAGAGAGGGGCAGCTGGTTGGCACAGTGGATAGAGTGCCAGGCCTGCAGTCAGGAAGATTCTTCCTGAATTCAAATCTGGCCTCAGACACTTACTAGCTGTGTGACCCTGAACAAGTCACTTACTCCTGTTTATCTCAGTTTCCTCATCTTGTAAAATGAGCTGGAGAAGGAAATGGCAAACCACTCCAGTATCTTTGCCAAGAAAACCCCAAATGGGATTACGAAGAGGGCAATGTGACTGAAACAACTGAACAACATGCTCAGAGAACTGCCCAAAGAAATTACCTTACAAGTTTGTAATGCAATGCAATAGGAAAAGAGGATTTAGTATTCAAAATTACACATTACTTTTTAGGAACAATATCCATTTCCTAAATTGAAGGATACATTTTTAATTAAAGTGAAAAGTAGCACATACACATAGAGCTGAATATAAGCTTCCTGAGGCATTCTTCTTGTTTCATTTTTGTCTTTTCCTCCCTGGCACCTAAAACAATGCCTGGTACACAGTAAGAACACAATAACTGTGAGCTGATTGACTGGTATCTATATTATGGGGCTTGGACTAATTTTTTTTTTCTCACCAGTTGTCATCTACACACACAATTGACTTAATTCATTTAATAGTTAGTGTTAACAGACATATAGTTGCAAAGGAGGGATGATCATGAAAGACTTCATAATAGCTGACAAGATCCAAGTATTAATACTCCCTAAAACAATAAGCAAAGGTGGTATATAAGGAATAGCTACTTCTTCCTACTATACTAATTTCTGCTATAGCCCAGAAGTTAGAATCTTAGAGTCTGAAGGAATCTCAGAACTTTTCTATTCCAAACCATGAATCTCACCTAAGACAATACCAGTCTTTGACTGAAGAGTTCCAGGGAGGAAGAACACTTCTCCAAGGCTGACTCATTTTTATGTGGGAATAGCTCCATTAGGAAGATTTTTCTTTTACCAATTCAAAATTTGCCTTTCCGTATCTTCTTCCTCTTAACTCTCATTGATATATGCCTGTGAAACCTGGACAGTATACCAGCATCATGCCAGGAAACTGAATCGCTTCCATTTGAATTGTCTTAGGAAGATTCTGAAGATCACCTGGCAGCATAAGGTACTGGACACTGAGGTCCTTTCTCAGAACTGCCAAGCTTTCAGACTCTGCTTCAGAGTACAACTCCAATGGGCCGGCCATGTTGTTGAAATACCAAACATACATTTGCCTAAGAGACTATTTTATGGAGAACACATACAAGGCAAGTGCTCATAAGGAGGTCAGAAAAAGCAATACAAGGACATTCTTGAGGTCTCTCTGAAGAACTTTGGAATCAATTGTGAGACATGGAAGATGCTGAGATAGGACTGCCCAGCATGGTGTGCCCGCATCAAGGAAGGCTTTGTGCTCTATGAGCAAAGCAGAATTGCAGTAGCTCAAAAGAAATGTGAGATATGCAAATTTAGAGACATCTTTACTCCAAATGTTCACATGGATTTATTTGTGCCTGACCCGTGGCAGAGCCTTAGGAGTTCATACTGGTCTGGTCAGCCACAGTAGGATACAGTGCACCTTGACCCTGACATAGTGGTGTTGTTTTGATTCTCTACAAGCAGGAAGGACAACAATAAACCAATCAACCCCCTAGTTCTACTCTCTGGACCAATACCTCTTTCCCATGATAGCTATTCATATGTTTGAAGACAGTTATCATTCTTTTTCCTCCCATCTCCCAACAAGATTTCTCTTCTCTAGGCTAAACAATATCGGTTCCTATAACTAATCTTCCATTGGCATGATTAAAAATCCCCCTCAGCGTCCTGACCTTCTGTGGACGTGATCCAATATGACAGTGTTCTACGTAGGCAAGGATGTAATAGTCCAAATGTAGTCTGACCAGGCCAGAGCTCAGAAGGACTCTATTACTCTCCCTCATCTAAACTCATTAGCTCGTTTAGCTGCTCTGCCACACTTCTGACTTACACTGACTCTGCAAGCAGCACTGCATATTCAGTTCTAAGTACCCTGAAGTCAAGTAGCTAATCTCATTAAAAGGCTAAAAAAGACGGGGGGGGGGGGGGGGGGGGGGGGGGATATGGGAGGGGAGAAGGGAGGAAGCATTTACTTAGGGTTTAAAAAGACCCTGTGTAATTTGAACACCAATAAAAATTAAGACATGTAGGGAGGGGGGTGCAAGTGGGTAGATTAAAAAAAAAAACAGGGTTGGCTGCTGCGCTAGTTATTAAGATTGCTTTGGACCCATTAACAGGGAATGTTGATTTCAAGGAATATCATGAAGTCATTTGAAAAAATAGACAATACAACACTGAAATGTTCATTTGGATGAACAATAACAACCCCCATTTCTACAGCTTTTTAAGGTTCGCAAAGTGCTCTCCTCAGGATAATATGTGAAATCGATAATAATAGTATTATTATCCCCATTTTACAGGACAAGAAACTGAGGTTTCACGAGGTCATGGCTTGTCCATGATCTCATATAGCCTAAGATGGGAACTGGATTCATTCATCCTGACATCTAGCCACTACACCACATTGAATCTAGGGTTTAAGCTTCGTTTTCAAGACGAGGCTTATAAAAATCAAATAGGACAATTCAAAGAAGGTGGAGGTTAAGAGTTTTTTTTTTCTTTTAATTGTTTCACTTCACTACATTCACTAAACTTGTGAATCACATTTTTAATTTTCCTACTTTGTTCTTTTGGCAGATCTTAGTTTTATATTTTAAATCTTATTTTTTTACTAATAGCTTACTTATATAGCTCATGGTGTGTGTGTGGGGGGGGACTGAGAAGTCTGGACCTATGGACAATTTCATTGGTGTAGGAAGTTCCCAGTGTGGAAACTCCCTCCACTAATACAGATTTGCAATGTGGGGCAGCTAGGTGGCACATTGGATAAAGAGCTGGATCTGGAGTCAAGAAGACCTGAATACAAATCCAGCTTCAGACACTTACTAACTGTATGACCTTGGGCATGTCACTAAACCTATTTGCTTCAGTTTCCTCATCTGTAAAATGGAGGTGATTAATAGCACCCACCTCTCAGGGTTGTTGTGAGAACCAAACAAGATGTTTATAAAGTGCTGGCACATAGCAGGTGCTACATAAATGTTAGCTATCATTATCATCATCATCTTAGTTGCCCAACTGCACGACATTTTTCAGGTATACAACTGTATAAAGCAGGTATTAATCCTTTTTTCTCTCTCTTGAGATTTCATTATGCCAGTTGTTTTTATTTTCCTCATTCTTTTTATTCAGGTTAAGTAAAGGGTTTGACTCTGCAAAGGGCCAGATTTTAGTTTTTACCAGTTCTATAGTATCTTTTTTCTTGTGTTCTAATTTATCTGTTTTACCTTTCAATTTTAAAATGTCTTCTTTGGTCCTATTTTGGATCTGCTTGTTGATTTTTCTCATTTTTTAATAAGGTGAGGAAGAGCTGATGGACTATCTATGTTACACAGAATAATGAGTGAGTTATGATCTGCATCATGGGAGGGAAGACCTGCATTGATGAGATCACAGGTACGTCAAAGTTTGGAAACATGATCATTTCCATTATCATCCCTGTTTTACAGTTGAGGAAACTGTGGCGGTCAGAATTTAAATTTGTCCAGTCACATAGTAAACTTCTTAGTTCAGATTTGAACTAGGTTCACTGAAGTAACACATTAGAAAATAAAGGCAAGGTAGTTGCCTGCAAAGAACTTTCAATTTACTTAAGAAAATTCAAGGGTTTTGTCTTTTTTTCTGTTTTGCTTTGTTTTTAAGGTTTACTTTGATTTCCTCTGAGCCCTGGGTACCTGGGCCTGGTACTTTCATGAAGGCTACATTAAGTGAGGACAATCCACTCACTAACTCAAGAATACAGCTGGGAATCGACCTACCACTTTAAGTCCTGTTTAACTATTCTATCTTCTCTCTCACATGGCATAGGGCTGTCTCCTTTAATGAATCCTTAACTGATAGCAAGCAGCCTTACTTGGATGAAGCCACTGTTAAATACAACAAAAAGGGCATGGGCTTTTTAAAAAATTGTTTTAGCAAGACATTAGGGAAAACCTTGCCATATATAGTGATAGGTTCATTCATGTTTGTGCAGAACAAAGAAAGGATCCATTTTAGTTACCCTGGGTGGGTGGGGAAGTGTCTTAGGTATTTTTTTTATTGCCTTTTCTTTCCTCTGAGAAATAATTTTGCCTTTAATGTTAAAAAGAGAAGAAAAAAGATACCAGGGATTAAATGAACATAAACCCTAATACAATCAATATGAGCAAGGACAGACTATGACATCTGTATTAAGAGAAATGATGAATGCTTCCACATTATGGGAAGTGTTTTAAGTACAACTATTACAACTTAAAATAATGCTTCAGAGGTATGTAGAACACAAAGAAATTTGTCTTCAGACTTTCAACCTTTTCTCTTGCAAAGATTTTTCAGTAACAATATGTTTGGGTCTGAAGCAAAGGAAAAAAAAAGGGGGCAGGAGAAATTCTAGCCTTGAGTGTTGCTGCCATCTACATGGCAGGGAAACAATAAACCAAAACAAATACAAAAACATCAGCTTCCTGGGTGGGTAAGCATCTGAACCACCTCTCCATCAAAATGTAATTTTAAAGGAGGAAAAAATAAATGTCCTATTTTGGATGCTCTACTTAGCTACCATTATTAACATGAAATATTGATATTTACTGTCAACGACTTACCTCCTATTTTAAATTCTGGCAGTACACAGAGTAATTGGCTTTGATTAGATTGGTGAAATATACTGATTAGTTGAAATAAGGGCTGGGCTGAGGAAATCTACTCTTTGACATGAGAATAAAGCCAAAGGCAGATTGATCTTGACTGTGATTGTGTGTGTTTATGTGTATCTCAGGAAGGTGAAGAAAAAGGCACCCTTCATTTCCTGCTATGACATTTTTTATCTGCTTCCAAAATATGAAGAAAAAAAATGATCCTTAATGTGTTATCCAAGTAATTATGGCCAGCACATGATGCAAATACTGGTAACATCACTGGAAGGCTCCTTTTAACATGTAGTAGATGAATGTGGGGCTATTTCTGAGATGAAGCAACATCCCCCCAACTCCATAATTGTCATGCCACTGTGTGTGAAACCCATTTACAAGTCTGTAGAAACTTGTGACATGACATAAACAAATCTTTATCTCAGACAGATCAGCGCAGGATACAAACATAGCCTGGCAATGTGAAAGTCCCCTCTCCCTGGGAAATAAGCACATGGGATCAAAAAGCTGATTGATTACCTTAGAGATAATGACAATTAAAATGACTGCTAAGTGAATAAATGATGGTGTTTGGAAGCATGTGGCAAATGATGGCTGCCATCATATGATTTTATTAATATTGGCATTCTACTGGCATATAGCACTTGGAAGATGATAAGAACGCACACAAGCACTGTGTCATATGCAACATAATGTTAATAATACACTACAGAGTAGTGCCAATTATGTCTGAATTCCATAATCCCTGAACCCTTTGATCAATGACACAAACACATCATGCTTTAGAAAAAAAAAATATTTGAGTCTGGGAAAATGATTGCATCAAGACAAGGTATCCATGCTTCTGTTCCACAAGCACACTAGAAAAGGATAGGTTACTCATCAAGACGATATTTGATATGCAATGAAAATGATATTTGGAGGAATGGGAAGAAAATGGGAAGTTTCTAATTATAGGGAAAATCACCTATATAAAGAGCTTCTTCTGAAAGCTGACATAAGAAGGGATTTGTCACAATGTAGCTTTATTCTTATTTTTCTTGTGACAAGGAGGAGGCTCCCATGGAGAAATACCAGATATAATTATAAGATAATGATACTGATTTAAAACAACCACCAAACATATAAATCAGAGGAAGAGAGGGAAAGCAGAAAGAGCACTGGCCTTTAGGGTCAAAATTGGATTTAAGTCCTGGTCCTGCTACTGTGTTTATTTGCCATCTTTCCCACTTCTTCGGTAGCTGTCAGTTTGAAAAGATCAAAATGCACATCAGACTAATAGACATACTAAAATACTAAGTACGGCAATGGTTTTTGAAAAGTGACTTTTTTCTTTCTTGATAAGATGAGACATTTATGTCTTTTGACAGTTTTCTCCATAGCATGTCTTTTGGTATTAGAAGACGATAAAAATGGTATGTGGTATAATAGGTAAAGAACTGAGAAGCTGAAAATTACACAATAAAAAAAATCTGAAATGAATATGAATTTTGTCATAATCTTTAGTCATTTGAAATTAATTTAATTTACTCATTCATTATTGGTCCAGCCATAATAATATGTAGTGGGGAAATACATTTTTGAAATGCTGATAGCTTTTCTTTCCCTTTCAGGAACAATTTCAAAGTGCTCTTAATTTAGCCTTTTAAAACTGCAACACAAGGTTTCCTGCCTGAGGCTAATCTCCTAATTACATCTATATAGACAAGTCACACCTTCAGCAAGATAAAAAAGAATTCACACCTGCCAGTTTTTATATCAGTTTTGGAAATATCCCCTTAATGAGCAAGCCAAAAAGAAATGATTAATACCACCCCAAGGTTCAAAGAACAATGCAACAAAAGTGATTTTATAAAGAAAGATTATTTATTTCATATCAGTGAGGGCCACAGATACAAACAAAATATTAACTAGTTAAAAAGAACATGACTGCACTTGCTAATCCAAAGATGACAATAAATGCTGGATCATGAAACAGCATTCTGGCTGCATTAACAGATGGGTAAATCAACCCATGGCCAATCAGATCAATTGTGAAGCAAACATTTATTTCAAGTAGCCAAAACAAGCAAAATCACTGAAGACTGATGAATAAAGATTTTACAGGAATATCTTCAATGTCTTCTCAGGATTATTTTTTGATAATAGAAAATATTTGATGCTGCAAAAAGTCTGGATATTAGAAATTCATTTGTTTCATACATTTATAATGCACATAGGTATACATAACAACAAATATACATGTACCATCAAGCCTCTCCATTTTAGAAATTTAAATCATCATTTGAAAACAATCTTTTATCTCAATTATTATATAGTATAAAGCAGCAAAATCCAAGAAAGTTTTATATATATGTATACACACACACACATATATATATATATACATATATATATACATATATATACACATATATATATATATATATATATATATATATATATACATATCACAATAGACATTCTCTGACATGTAAAAGCTATTACTAGTTTTTCCTTAGACCTGAAAACAAATGCTAAAGACTATGACAAAATACAAATTCAGTCCTATTTTTTTCTTGCAAATGGAAAATTGCTCATATGTAGAAATAATAGTTGCAATTAAAAAAGAATGAGAATGATTTAAAAATATATCAATAAGGTGAAGCACAGTGTAGTGGAAGGAACAACGGACTTGATGTCAGAAAGGCTATTTCATGTCCTGACTCTTGGATTCACTTTTGTGTCATCAACCCCTTGTCTTTGGACAAGTCATTTCCACTCTCTAGGCTTCAGTTTCCTCATGCAGAAGATAAAGGTACTGATTGGGGTTCATATACTTTACAACTGGAAGAGACTTTGGAGGTCAACTAGTTCCACGTCCTCATTTTTAATAATGGAGATTTTGAGGCGAGACAGTTTAAGTGACTTGTCCAAGGTTGCCCATGTAGACCTGCTGGAATCTGATGCCAAATGGAAAAGATTTGAACCTAAGTCCTCTGATTTCAAATCCAGCCCTTTCCTGCCTCACAATCTGCAAGGTCACCTTTACATCTATAATTCTGTGATTCTGGAAAACCTTTATTCAGGCTACGCTTGTGTAAATGTGAGAACTTCTACATCCAAACCAGTATTGACCTTCAAAATAGTCACCATGGGAGATTGTACACCTATCCAGGGTGTATTACTAATGAGCCAATTATCTTTTAAAATAATCTTCAGGGACAATTTCTGATCCTCACAAAAAAAACTGTCATTCATTTGCTTTATAATTAAACTTAATGTTTAGTCAAAAGAAATGCCGGTCAGTTAATCCCACTTACTTTGTTCACAAAACTTGGCTCCAAATTTTTCCCAAAACCAAATTCATCCTCAGAAGATGAAGGTTTGTCATCATTCAGAATATTCAAAATAATGTTCTAGAGATTCTGAAGGTAATTCCCAGAGATCCAAAAAGTTCTGAGCAATAGGAACTTCACTGGAATAAGGCTCCCAAGGTGACTGCTTCAGTTACTTACTTCATTTGGAGGATTCTGACATTGTTGTTGTTGTTGTTGTTGTTGTTGTTTTAATTCTGTTTTATTATAGTAATAAGTAATCCCCCATCTAGCATCTTTGATTGGAAAAGTCACTTTTGTTTCAGCTTTTCAGAGGGATAATATGTGTGTATACATACATATATATATATATATATATATATATATATATATATATGTATATATATGTATGTATTAGTAATATGTGTATATTAATATATATGATATTGCTGATTTTGAAACTGTCTTTGGGGTTATAATATGAATTTTGGAAAATGGATTGTGATGCATCTAACCACTAATAGATGGGTGAATACCTGAAGGGCTTTCCTATTTTTTTTTATTGTAGTTTTCCCCCTCTACTGTGATTTTTTTTAATTGTAATATGGAGGTGACCCTGGGTTCTTGAATAATATGCAAGCAGACTAAAAATTCTAGTAGGCCCCACTAAAATGAAAAGGATTTGCTTCAATTATGGGCCTGGCAATGAATAATATGCTTATGCCTATGTCACAAGGACCTCCAAGCTAAGTTTGGGGATGCTCACCACCAAGCTGAATGCAGGGTGATGAATTATTTTGGGTAAGAGTAATTCTTGGAGAGTTGTCTCCTAAGTTATATCAGAATGGCCCTGGGTGTTGTAGAATGAGTACCCACACAATCAAATTACAGAGTGTTGAAGCATCATTTTCTGCATCTCAGCTAAAGAAAACTGAAGAGTATCGGAGAAGGAAGATACAAAGTTGATATGAAGGTCAAACTTTAATCCCATTTCTAGCTTAAATCATGCTGATAACACCAGTGATATCCATTGATGCAGATTGGTTCATGAGTTGATGATCAGATGACCGCACGCTCCACCCAATCTTGCATGGGGAGCAACAAGCCAACTAAATGATACAGAAGTAAAGGATCACACCCTGCTTTTTGCATCTGTTTGGAAGGAGTGAACTGAAATAATCATGTGGCAGGTGATTTTACCAAGTGCTTAGAGATACATTGATTCCTTGGTGATTGCCGAGTATGATAAAAATAATAACAAACCACAACAGAGCAGACGAGTTTCAGATAACTTAATTAAACAAATTGAAGGTTATAAAATCAAATGGTGGTCAATATAAAAGCCTTATGTCATCTTTGACATAATAATGTTTTTTAAATGATTCAGGAGTATGAAAAAAAAAAGGAACCTATACACACTATCAAAGCTGAACTAACTACAAATACCCATATGGTAGAGGACAAGCATTCTACATTGGGGGTAGCAATGGAAAAACTAAGTAGCAGAATCATGAGGTAATTTAGAAAATGTTTCTCCAAAGATGCAGTGTAGTTTTGTAATGGATCAGCTCTTACAATTTTTCAAGCAGTTTGGGTTCAAAGATTGACATATTAAATGGTTCTTGTATTCTAATCACAACACAACCTTTATGAAAAAAAATATGCTTTCAGTTCCTTAATTAGTTTAAATCCTAATTCCAGTAAATGAGGAGGTATTTCAACACATCTTACAGGAGCACATCTTAGCCACCCAAGGATGTGTTTTGTGCTCACCTAGAAGGAAAAAAAAGCAAAGTATTTGTCTTGGGCAATTTGACAAATAGAAACATAGTTCCACCTAAAACTGTGAAGTATTCTATATATTCTGAAATTAAATATTAAATTAACACATAAAAGTATTCCAAGCTTACAAACACCATTTTCCTAAGTTTTATTAAAACCTCAAATGCTCATGGGACTAACATGGATTAATTAACAATGTCATATAGAATCTGATAATTGTATCATCAGAACAAAAAATATTTAAATACAAAGTATTCCATTTCAAAATAGAAACTTGACCCAAATTACAAACAACATGATTATTCTTCCTGGAACTGACAAAGACATTTTAAGGCTAAGGCTCAATTTTGTTGAGAGATACCAATGAGACACAAGGTTTGATTCACTGAATGTTCAAATGCACTTATTCCCCAAATTACTTAGATTATTATAATTCCAGTGATTGAAATTAATACTTCAAATGAGAACAAACATGTAACTCATTTCTGTATCCTTGTTAGCTATGGTTTCTACTCATATTATTAGCTTACTAACTCCATGTCCAATCCTCTACATCCATCTTTTGAGTTTAAAAGAAAGCTAGAACTCTGGCTATTTCAGGACTATGGATTAATGATATGCACCATGTCCATCAGCCTGCTTCCCCTGACTACTTAATCCTAACATAATGCTTTAACATTCTAAGTTAAAAACCATTTTCCCTTTGATAATAGTAAGCATTGGTGGTAGACAATACATATCATAGTAATTATATAAAATAGTATATATATTTTTACTCTTGGAACTATTTTTACTTTGTATAGAATTCTAGGTTTTTCCCCATATAAAGACGAAGAAATGTGTTCCTTGTGTTTATGATTGATGGGCTGCTCATACGTTACACATTCTTCCTGCTTCATGCATCATCAGCAGCCATCTCCAACATTTCATTCTTGAATCTGTCCTAGTTTTCTATTACCTGATTTTTACAGGTGATTCATGAGCCAGAATTTAAAAAAATACACATACCTTGGCTTATAACAGGGCAAATAACCCTAGCATGCTTAGTGAGAAAGCTGGTTTTGTCCATCATATCCACACATATGATACTGGTCGACAATGTTATATACAAAATGTGCTTTGTATAAAACCATATTAATAGCATAATGTAGACTGATTAAAACCTACTTCAGTATGACAGACCCTTGTACTAGTTTGCATATTCTTGACTCCATACTTTCTGACACCCCTTTTTCATTTGATCATATTTTTGTACCTTTTTTCCCCAGTTGATATGAAGAAAAGTAAAGATTCTTAGAAGGTTTTTACAATTAGAAAAGCAAATAAGATGTCTTTCATTAGATTTTTGTTTTTGAGACCAGGCTTATAAATTCCTCAGTTGAGGGAGCTTCCAGTGAGGAACTTCCTGTACTAATATAGATCCCCACTTTCTCTGCACCTTGAAGCCTTAGCATGTTCCTGGGGGCAACTGAGAAATTAAGTAGTTTGCCTAGAGTCACACTGAACACAGAGGTAAGATGTACTCAGGTATCCCTGACTTCAAGGCCAGATCTCATTCCTCTAGGCCATCCTACCTCTCCCTTTTAAAAGTTTTTAAAGCAAAATTGAGTTTCATTCTGCCCACAAGTGAGTATAAAATGAGGGGTAATGGAATCATATGTTTTTATTTCAAGGAGAAGGTTTTAAGATGTTAAGAACAGGATCCAAATTGAATTTTGAGGCTAATGAAAATCAAAGAAAGGGGAAGCTACACTTCCTTAGCTTTATTGGCTGGTCCATCAGTCAGTCAACAAGCATTTATTAAGAGCTCACTATGTTTCAGGCAGTATGCTAGGTGCTGGGGATACAAAGGAAGGGGGGGATGGCCCTGCTCTCAAGGAGTTCATAGTCTAATAGGCAGACAACATGAAGACACCTATAGACAGTCAAGCTATATACAGAATAAACTGGAGGTAATCACCAGAGAGAAGGAACTAGCATTAAGGAGGCTGATGAAAGGTTCCCTGCCAAAGATGGAATTTCTAGCTGGGACTTGAAGGAATCCAGGGAGACCAGGAGATGGAGATGAGGAGGGAGAGAATGCCAAGAATGGGAAACAGCCAGTGAAAATGCAAAGAGTTCGGAGACAGAGTGTCTTCTGTGAGGAAAAGCAAGGAAGAATAAACAGTGAACAAGTATCTTTGTTTTTCAAAGCTGAGCAGTTCTTAAACAGAACAATGTTGTTGGCCCTGAGACCTCAAAAGGGGGCTCTGAAAAAGCATAATGTTGTCTCACACTCTTTAGTAGCAGACTTAGGAGTTGTTTCCTCAGGTTTATTTAGTGTATAAATGATATCATGGAAGTAACGACAGCCTAGTATTTATAGCCAGGATTCAGATACAGGGAAACATCTTGGCTTGTGAAACAATACCGAGAGAAGAGATCTAGTTATAAGAAAATGCCAAGGCTCCTTAGATGGAATTACAGGCATGCTCTAGGCTGGAGATCCTTGCCAGCTTTAATGGCCTTCAGTTAATAAAGCACTAATAGTGGTAAATTACTAGAAAATGTTTTCAAAAATATATTAACAATTCATTTTTAATGGGCTTGTATCGTATGAATTTCATGGGAAATCTAGTCCATCTGTAAACCTTTTATATCATCTGATTTGGTGACAAAAATAAAATGAAAATAATTTTAAATTAGCAAATTGTTTATTAAAATTTAAAAGTTAAAAACAAGTTAATAAAGCAATTAAAACATTTGGTTTAAGTAATGTCATTTATTTTAAAAGGGTTATAAGAAATAACTTTTCTGAATCTTTGAAGCAAGATTTTTCCTGCTGTTCTTTGATAGTAGGCTACTGTTAATTTGCAAATGGGCCAGGGATTGAGTAAATAAATTAGTTTTGGTATGTAAGCCATATTCTATATAGTGAACTTTATATGGTAATAATTAGCTCAGAGGATTTACAAGATGAAGGAAGGAAGGAAGGAAGGAAGGAAGAAGAAGGGAAGGAAGGAAGGAGGAAGGAAGGGAGGAAGAAGGAGGAAGGAAGGGAGGAAGGAAGGGAGGAAGGAAGAGGAAGGGAGGAGGAAGGAGGAGAAGGGAGGAAGGAGGGAGGAAGGAGGAAGGGAGGAAGAAAGGGAGGAAGAGGGAGGAGAAAGGGAGGAAGAGAGGAGGAGGGAGGGAGGGAGGAGGAGGAAGGGAGGGAGGGAAGGGAGAGGAGGGAGGAGGGAGGAGGGAGGAGGGAGGGAGGAGGAGAGGAGGAAGAGGGGGAAGGAGGGAGGAGGAGGAGGAAGGAAGGGAGGAGGAAGGAGGAGGAAGAAGGAAGGAAGAAGAAGAAGGAAGGAAGGAAGGGAGAAGAAGGGAGAGGAGGAAGAGAAGGAAGGAGAAGGAAGGAAGGAAGGAAGGAAAAGAGAGAAAAGTGGAGAGGAAAGAAGGAAGGAGAGAGAACTTGAACCAAAAATTTTTAGTTTTATATATATGCCATCTCAAGAGACTGATCAACTGAGAAATACAATGGGGGAAAAACACAAATTAATAGTTCTGTATAGTATAAACAAAACAACCTGAAATAAATATCCTCTCAAATACGGACTAAATTTTTCATTCTTCAACTGTTAGTATTAGTAGGTAAATATTCCCTTCAATGGGAATCTTGTATGAGGAACATGTCAAATAAGAATTTTATATTAAAATGTGACTTCAGTTAATAATTTTTTCAAATTGAAGTGCTAATGAATCTTACACATGGTAAAATATACATAAGATGTAGGGTTAACATTCTAAACCTTTATTAATTTGAAAAGTTCTCATCATTCACCCTATCTGATTAAAAAAAAAGTCCATTGTCTTTCTTGAAATAGGATGAATGATACACTCTTCAGAAGAGTTCTAACTATATCTAAATCTATCTATATTCATACTTAGTAAACATAAGTAAGTTTTAGAGTGCTTTCAAATGAATGATGTAAAGTTAGAATTCTTTGTCATTCAAGAAGGGATAGCACATACTCACTTTTCAAAAAGTCAATATGTTCTATTCAATCTATATAAGGAAAACATATTATATATGTCATATGATATGTAAAATATGTTATATAATACACACATATATGTGTATATATATGTGTGTGTGTGTGTATATTTCCTCACATGCTACCCATGCCTTAGCATTCTTGCCTACCAAAATACTCACTCATGCTTCAAGCAAATGCATTCTATCATCAAAATCTTTCTTTCTAAACAAGCACCTCTGTCAGAAGTGTCTTAATTTCTTATCACAGAATTTCATCCACACAAGGAGCAATAAATAATTCATGTTGCTAGGTCTTTGTTGTGTGTCCCTGAACTGCACAGAGCTGGAAGGCTGACAGCTGTGTCAGGACAAGCACCAAAGATCTGACATGACAAGTGACTAACAAGTTTCTTTCAGTCTATAGTGAAAGAAGACAATGGCCCAAAGTGCAGAAACGAAATCCTGAGACAAAATGAAACTGCTTCTTTCTTTTTACCTAAGTGTTTGCTATGAGCTTATTTCCAACTCACAACCTCTGGTCATTTTATAGTACTGCCCAGCCCCCTTTATTCCTCACACTCGCCTGGCCATTTACGCCTGGCCACGGATCAATATGAGCAATTCTTGGAGAAATACGATGTCTCCATGACAACCGAGCCACAAATTCTCAGTGGGAGGCAGTGAGACCAGTAGTGAAATCTCAAGAGGCTTCCAGGCCTATAAGGCAAGATGTCTTAAAATGCAGGAATGGACAGAGGAAAAAGCCAGAGTAATTCATTCTTTATTACCAGTTTAATGATGTCCGATGTACAGAACAGTACTCACTTTTAAAGTTTGGATTATTTATCAACGCCTATATTTTTTAATCAATATTTCTTCTTTCTTGGTACAGCCTTTTCTTTATATACAATATTATATATATACACATATATATGTACACACACACACACACACACACACATACATATATGGTGTGTTGTATTTAAATTCTACTGTAAATCCATTGAATTTTGGTTAGGAATAATTGGTTTTGGGTAGATTGAAATTTGTCCATTTTTTTTCAGTAAAGAATCACACCTGATTTATTCTCATCTGGACCAGTACCATCTCACATGAAAATCTGATTCTCTTAATTTCATTCCCAACAAGAATAATAATAACAACAACAACAACAACAAAGAACTCTTGTGAGTAATTGTTAGAACATCTTGTGGGACTACAGAGATGTCAACCCAGTCAAAATTAAAAGTAACTCATTCCTTCATCTTCACTGTACAAGTTTGACTCCCCTTCACTCTTTCGCCTCTGTAGTATGTTTTATTTTAGGTATCAGGAATGATTTGCAAACAGAGCTAGATTTATAGTTTTGAAAGATGTCATTGCTTGGTTCTGCAAGGAGGTTAATGTGGAAGCGTGGTTCAGATCAGGTGTGTGATAGCACTTCAGTTCCTAAGGAATCTTGGCATAGTAGAGGGCGCTGAAATATAATCCCATAGTCACTGGTCCTGTTGGGGTTCTGAGATGACTTAGGGGACCTGACATGGATTTCAAATGCACCTTTCACTGAAAATTAAATCTTGGTAGCTCTCCTAGGGGAAGGATCAGGGGACTGTTTGCAGCTGCCCCCTGTCAGCGGAGGCTACAAGATTTGGAAATCTCTTAACTAAGCTGACAGGCCACAGAGAGGATGAATCAAAAATATGATACACGGATCAGCACACAAAGATGCAAGAGGGTATACAGAAGTCAGATAAAGGAGGAAAACAAAATAGCAAGTGGAGGGAGTGGGTGGTGGTGCTGGGGAAGATATTTAACCCTTTCATTCATTGTAATGATGTGTCTTTTTGTATGCATTGTGGCAGTCCAGTTGTGCCAATCTCCTTTTATAAGCTAGTTTTGATCAGTTGTTAGAATAAACAAATACACAGACTTGTTTCCTTAATGCCTACTAGATCTAATGCATTTTTTCGTGCATTCACTTTCAAAGGAGAGAAACAACAAATAAAAAAATTCACAATTTGGACAAGAAAGTAAATTTTGTCATGCCTAGAAGGGTTGAACTTTTTGAATAGTACGCTGTTTGGCTCCATTTCTTTCCTGCGAAAACCCACACAGCACTCTTGTGGTTCTATTTGTATCGAGAAAGTTCAATCGACTTCTGATGCTTCCCACTTGCTCTGAGTTTCCCCCCAATTGACTGCTTTTCTACTTGACTGAAATTCATTGTTCTATTTTTTTTAACCTTACAGCATCCTTCAGAGCTCAGAGCCTATCCTTAGGTTAACTAGTTTAGTCCAAAATTATTATAATGAACTAATAGAGTCTGCTTCCCTTTCAGTCTCAATGCCTTTGTACTTTGTAGGACTTGAGTTCTTGATGAAAGAGGAAAGCATAACAGCTCCACACTCTGACCCCTGGAGGTGACTCTTAATTTGACAGTGCAGCTGCTAAGAGAAACCAGCATTACAATGTCCTTCTCCACCCTCCCCCTCTCCTTTTTCCATAGGCCCAAAAGCTGTGTCAAATTTATCATTTTATACTTGGTGACTATCTTTAAATGGCTTTCACCTGGGCTCTCCGCTTCTTCTAAGACACATCTGTCAGGCACGTCCTCAGCTTCTTGGAAGTTTGCCGAGTTTAAGTGGCTGTCATGCTTGACCACACTGACTGTAGCTATTAAAAACAAAGAAAAGAAAAGAAGAAAGAAAGAAAAAGATGAAATGAAAAATGGTAATATGTACACAAGCAACAAAACAAAATATACCATTGCTACTCAATGCCACAAATCTTTCTAAGGGCATACTTTGTAAACAGAAATAATAAATTGGAATAAAATATATCCTCCCAGTATTTATTGGCAGACATGTAATTAGTTGAAAAATCTATAGATGTGACTTTATCTTGGACGAAAAATAAGTTCATGGCATCAGCTTAAAAGCTACAAAGTAGCAAAGTGATCCCTCAAAGTGGAAATCGTATTTTTAATGCATAAATCTGAAAGAATAAAGTCAATTAGTGGCAACTGGACACACAGAGAAGACTATAAGCTTAGTTAATTAGAAATACTTTAAGTTGCTAAGATGAGTCCTCCTGCTACACAAAATCATAGCTATTTAATACTATGTAATGCATATTTCAATCTATTTAAATACATTTTAAAAAGAAAAATCATAATAACACCTCAAAAATGTCTCATAAAATTTTAGCACTCACAAAATTTTATTTATTAAAACCATGGCAGACCCAGTTGGGTGTTTTGAAGGCTACATAGCTGAATGATATATCTTTTAGTATAGCTTTCCCTTAATAATTCTAAAAGGGAAAGTTATTGTTCAGTAGTTTAGTTGCGCCTGACTTTTTGTGACCTCTGTGGCTCATATCACACCAATATTGCCCATGGGGGCTTTCTTGGGAAAAAAAAAGTAAAGTACATTACGTAAGGATTAATACATTAACTATGCCTAGTGGTTCTCTTTGGAGGAAAATATTTAAATTTCTTATTTGACAAAAGTTGTATCTTGATCTGGTGTGCTAGCCCCATAAACACTAAATTTTCATCACTCTTATTTGCCAGAAAATTACATTTTGTTGTTATGAATAAAGTTAATGAAAAAGTAATTTAAAATATTTCATCCATATTAGTAGTAGTATTAGTAGTATGTATATCAGTAATTCTAGTCCAAACACTGTAAACTTACATCAAACACTACCACCTACCCTCTTAGTAAATGTATAATTTTTTCACGATTGCAATTTCAGTAATCTTTAGTTGATTAGTATAAGTTCTTGAGAGATGTTGCCATCCACATTCACTTTAATCTAGAAATTAAAACTGCAATTATCTGAGAAAATTGATTTTGTCCCTTTTTAGTATGGTTTTCCTTGCATGTGAAAAATTAAATTCAAAGCATAAAAGTTTCTGTTGGTATTTTTTGTTTGGTTGGTTTTTTTGCTCATTATGACCAATTTCCAAACAAAAGATGGTGAACACAGTAGCACAGTATGTCGAAATTTACAAGTAATGGTTTCTAGTACTGACTTTTCCACCAGTAGGCTCTTTGTCATGGAGGAATTTAACTTTGTTTTTCTGGGTTTCAGTTTCAGAATCTACAAAATGAAAAGATTTGGGCAGGTATCTCTTAGGTTCATATCAGCTCTAACATTCTGGTATTCTAATGGCTTTTAGAGAGGCAATGAATATAAAATCTAAATATCACTTAAATACAAATATTGTATCTATTTCATAATTCTTTATAATGTAAAAACTCTTGTTCTAGTATATAAATGATGAGGAAAGTTGTTTTGGAGATTTGAAATTCAGTATCAATTACGCCAGTATTTCAGTACTTCTGAGAGATCTGCGATCTCTTCAATGCAGGTATTCCCATCAATGATGTAGCTAGCATCAAGCCAGGGTGGCTCACCTTGACCTTGTGCTCCCATAAGCTGGTTGCACCTAACTTTGTGGTTTTCTTCATGTTATCCTGATATGACATGATATTAATTAATAACAGTGATTCAATTTTGTTGTGATATAATAGAAAATAGTGAACAGAGCTGATGTTAAGAGTCAGCAAGTCCTGGATTTGAGTCAGCTTGTGACACATACTAGCTGTGTCACCCTAGGCAAGATATTTAAACACCCAATGCCTCAAGGAAACTCTCTTAGACCAAAAATGTGAGAGCAGGTACCAATCTGTATCAGTACAGACTTTTTTTTCCTCATCAAAAGTACCACCAAAGAAATTACAAGTCTGGTAAATTAATTTAAAAGAATAGAATATCATTGAAATATGTTATTAATGCCAATCATTATGATAACATAATAAATAGAAAAGTGTTAATATGGAGGAATACATCTAGACCAACAGATTAATTATTCAAATGTGCAACAAAATCTAAAGTTGTCGTAGGCCTTACCAGTAATAGACATGAAACAACAGAAGGCCACGCTTCCCCATACAGAGAAAGGGGCTATGGAAGGGAGAGACAGGCTGTGTATCTGGCCAGGAACAAATGTAGAGAAAGTAAGGGACATCAAGGTAAAATTTACTGTATTATATTTTGAAATGATTTCATGTACATTAACTGGCCCAACTATCTATCATGTGCTAATTCCAAGTCAGATGTTTGTTGTTAAAGACATCTAACATTTTTCTTCAAGGATTGGTAAGTCCAATATGGATACCAACACAGATCCCCATCCCCTTCAGGAATTTAGTAGATGGCCAGCAAGGGTTTCTGGGGACTTGATATTAGCTGTCCCCCCTGCCTGGAACACTCTGCTTCTTCACATCAACTTGTACTTTGCTTGGTTTCCTTCAAGACTTGGATCAAATCCTACTTTCTCTAGGCCTTTCCCAATCTCCCCTCTCTTCCAGCTGCTAATATCTCCCCCTTTTCAGATTACTTTCATGTATTTGGTATGCATATTAAATGAACCTGGATATTTACATGTTGTCTGATCCGTTAGGATCTATGTTCCTTAAGGGCAGACAGGTGCTTTTTGTTTCCCTTCTCATTGTAATCCCAGAATTTAGCACAGTGCCTGGCACATAGTAAGTGCTTAATCAATGCTTTTACTAACTCAGAAAAATTCTTCACCCTGCAGCCAAACTGGTGATGTGTTTCTCAAACCTAGGCTTATCCTCATAATGTCTATCAGCAGGTGCATGGTCAATGCCTTTCCAGCTAAGTAGAACTTAGCTGGTTTTGCCTTTTGAGAACACTAGGTCACCTCCCTGCCACAGTAAGGCTCTACTGTGGCATAAAAAATAAGTCTGCAAAGTAGTACTGTTCTGTAGGTAAAGCCTCTGTCCATGAAAGAAGACAAAGCTTTCCTGCCTGCGAGAGAATTCAAACCACAAACCAGGCTTTGACATAGCAAGTAATTACAAGTATCACCTGAATTGTCTCTAATTCTAACCACTAAGCATGAAGTCAATATGGTGGCTGAAGTCAGAGCCTTTACATTGATAGTCCACAGTTTTCAAACTCACAGCCTCTCTGCTGTAGCTATTTACTTATGTGTATCTGCTTTTAATCCATAGGTGTTTTTGTTTTCTTTTTAATCTGAAAGGGATAATTATAACTTTGAATTCCATTACACAGTAGGCTTTTTGTGTTGTCAAGATTTGCTGGTTTTTTATTACAGCTTTTCATTTTCCATGGCAGGATCACAGGTTCAGATCCAAAAGACAGAGAACTTTAAGGCACCCGAGAGATCATCTAGCCTGACTCTCTCATTTTATAGATGAGGAAGCTGAACCCAAGATCTTAAGTGAATTAGCCAAGATCCCACAAGTAGTAAATATTACATGGGATTTTGAACTCAGGGCCTTTAACTCAAGAGCCAATATTCTTTCCACTAATTCATGCACATCTTACAAAATCATCTTCTGTACTACTTAGTTTCATATGATGCTGCTGAGGATAATGCAATATATATTTTAAGATGTGCAAAGTACTTTAAGCATCATCAGAATGATTTATAGTACTGTTAAATTTATTAATCCACCCTTAGGTTTTAACTCATTATTCATGAACATAGAAATATTATTATATGTAAGCAGTTGCAGGATTTGCAATTGGAATTCAAATCCTGGCTCTGCCACTTATCACTTGTGAGAGTCTGGGCAAGTCACTTAACTTCTCTGGAACTCAGTTTCCTAATTTATAAAATGAGGAGGTTGGCTTTGGCTGCTCGACTCTATATCTACAATCATAAGATCTCTGGTTTTTTGTTTCATTTTTTAAATATATTTTCTGCTTCTACATCTCCCAAGGTCCTTAAAGCATATACATGCAACAATGTCTAGTGGCAAATACCACAACTGTGATCACAAACATTTTGAGCTCACACAATATGATGCCTTGCTTTGCCCAAAAATCAGATGTAACTTCAGCTACACAATTTTGGCTGAGTGGATGCCAGTAGATACCAAGATGTTTTTCTGTTTCTCCTACTAGTTTTTGCTATTGGGTTGTTTTCAGATTGCCTCCTGAATTATATTCTGACTTCCTCCAAGATGTTGTGGCATAAAACTGTGCTAATTTTATAGTCGGTAGTTTAGATTTGCTACAGAAGTAATCTTTCAGTTTTGCAATCTGAGATCAATAGATATTATAGAATTGGATTCTCTCATGTTTACATTCTCATGTAGAGGACTGATTTGTCAATATTACCTTCTGTTTTACATATTCTGTTGAATCATGGTTCTCTGTTGTTGGGTGTGATGGTTTCTGTGCTGCACCATTTTATGTTCAATCAAATCAATTATGTTTGAGAACCCATTCTGTGCAAAGCACAGTCAGGTGCTGAGGGAATTTATAAAAGTTTAAGACATCACCACCTTTGCAGTCAAAGAAAGGAGATAAGACTACTGAACATGAAAAGGTAACTAACAGAGAGACAACTAACTAGAGAGACAGCATGGTGTAGTGGATAGAGAGCTGACATTGTAGTCAGTAAAATATGGATTAACTCTTATGTCTGAAAGGTAGTGGCTGTGTGACCCTAGGAGAGATATTTAACATTTTAGTATCCGTAAAAAGTAAATATCACAAAAAGTGATATTTGAGTTCAGAGGAGGAAGAGATCACTTCTAGTGGGAGTGATCAGAGGTTTCATAGAGAATAGAAGCTAAATTGGGTTTTTGTAGGGGAGTCAAATT